AAATATTATAGAAGAAACATAGTGACTCTTCAGATAAGCATATATATATTACAAATGTATACACGCATAGATACATACAGATATACATATGTAAAAAATACATACTTACATCTTGATCATAGATACATACAGATATACATATGTAAAAAATACATACTTACATCTTGATTGAACTCATTTCTTAACTATCAATTAAATTAGGGAAATTTAAAACGCTACAAGAAAAGAAAAAAAAAGAGAATCAATTCTAATTGAATTGAATGCAAGACGTAAGACAATTGCTTGTGCCCCTCTATAAGATGGGCACTCAATTTCGATTTACATATTGCAATGTTGCAACAATTGAATAATTATGCAATCGATAAATGTGTTTGGGCACCTTTTGCTAATTGCTGCTGCGCTGATGATTCTCGGCCAAACGACTTGTCCGTCCATTGTCCGTCGTCCGTCAGGCAACGTGTTGCGACTGCCCTTTGATATTTGAGACACTTTGCTAATAGCCTCTGGCTGCCCTGCCCCTGCCCCTGCCCCTGCCCCTGCCCCGGCCACTGCCACACAACTGCCCCACTTTGTGGGCTGATAGAAATATTCTTAATTGTGCGCCGTGCGCCATGTGTGCGGTCTCTCTATATGCTAGGGAGTGTGAGCGAGAGAGAGAGAGAGAGAGAGAGAGAGAGGAGACTAAAGAGAGGGGGCCAACTACCTCTAGACCCTGGCCAGACAAACTTGCTTTGACTTTGCTTTGATTTTGCTTTGACGCACATTTTAAGCACTGCTAAAAGAAACAACACAGAGCATGTGCCAGCGATGGGGTATGCTCGACTAGAGCATACGCTGCATGCAGCACAACTCATAAGGAGAGGATATAGATATTGAACTCATGTAATCAGTTTGCTATAATTTCAGATTGATTGATTTAAATTTTGTATACATATATATCTATATACATATGTATGTACATATGCTCTGCTGAAACCAGTATACCCTCTGGCTGGGCTGGGCTTTGAGTGCCCAGGCTTGTGGCTCAGCTGAATGCATCTCTCATCCCGCTGCAGCCGTCCAGCCAAGTGCCCCAAACGCCGCCCCGACGAGCGAGCCCGCCCGCTGGCGCTTGTCCTGCCACGCCCAGCCGCTGACTCTGTGCGGCTTTGCCGCATGTGCCGCATGCTGCATGCCACTTGGTCGCATTGTCTGAGGTGTGAACGCCGCCGACACGAGAGTGCAATTGCTGCTGTTGTTGCAGTTGCACTTTAGAAGCACCAACTTCCTCAAGCCCCCCTCGGCCCGCCCACTGCCCACTCACCCTTCCGCCCATTCACACACTCAATCTGGTTCGCTTTGATTTTTGTGAATTTCGGTTTTTTCACTTCTTTTTTTTCTAAAAATTTAAAAGTCAATTAAAGCAACTTGACAAACGAAACTGAGTGCCACTCGAGGGGTTAATTTACTGTGTGTGTGTGAGGGTATGTGTGTGTGTGTGTGTGCGAGTATGCGAGTGTGTGTGGCTGTTAAGTTTGTCTCGCATTAAAGCGAAATTAGCCGCAATCAAATTTAATAAATGAGCAAAACTCACCAAATAAATACAAAATCTCACTAATTATAATTGTAATTACAATAATGTGTGTTTGTCTATGTGTGTGCCTGGTATATATACGTAGCAAATAATCATATGCTAGATTTTCTGCAGCGTCACATGGCAATCATCGAGGCGATCGTGCCTAAAAGCAAAGCGAAGAGATGCGGATACACAGCGAGAGATACTTTATAGATATAGATATAGATATAGATATAGATATAGATATAGATATAGATATAGATATAGATATAGATATAGATATAGATATAGATATAGATATAGATATAGATATAGATATAGATATAGATATAGATATAGATATAGATATAGATATAGATATAGATATAGATATAGATATAGATATAGATATAGATATAGATATAGATATAGATATAGATATAGATATAGATATAGATATAGATATAGATATAGATATAGATATAGATATAGATATAGATATAGATATAGATATAGATATAGATATAGATATAGATATAGATATAGATATAGAT